GGCCGGGGCGCGGGGCGGGCGCGCGGCCGCCGCCTCCTGCGGCTCCTCGCTGAGCTTCAGCTGCTCCTCCAGCGCGGCGATCAGCTCCTCCTGCATGTCGGCGTTGCGCGAGGGCGAGTTGGCCGTGCCGTCGGGGCCGGGCAGCACGCTGGCCACCAGGAAGGACTGCTGGACCAGCTCCGGAGAGTCACTGATGATCTCCAGCACCTCCGCCAGCCAGCACAGCACCAGCTGCAGGAGAATGTCCGAGTCGCACGTGGAGTCCGCCATCTCCTTGGCTTGCTCTTTCCACTTTTTATGCAAGAAATTTTTCACAGTCCGCTTTATACAAACATCCAGGGGTTGGATTTTGGAGCTGCAGCCGGCGGGGACGACGGCGGGCAGCGTGCTGGAGGCGCTCAGCAGGGACAGTACCTCCTCGGACAGGTGCGTGCGGTGGCAGTCCAGCACCAGCATGCCCTTGCTGTTCTGGCACTCCGTGTGCTTCTGCCACACCTGGGACAGCCACAGCTCCATCACCTCGTCGTCGCTGTAGCCGTTCTCCTTCGACTCCAGCATGATCGACTCGGGCACGTTGGCGGGCTGCTGCAGGTGGCCCCTGAAGAGGACCAGGGTGGGGAGGACGCTGCCGTCGGCGAGGATGGTGAGGACGACGTCGCACCAGGGCTCGCCGGTCCCCACCGTCTGCAGCGCGTTCTCCTTCCGGTCGTCGCTGCTCAGCACCTCCACGTCGAGGAAGAGGGAGATTTCGTCGATGGCCGCGATCATGGAGAGCGGCAGGTCCTGGGTGTGGATCTGCCGCTGCACGAACTCGATGAAGCAGCTGGCGTTGTCCTCCACGTCCTTGGGGAGGGGGTGGGCCACGGCCCGGCGCGTGTGCGTGCTGAGGTGGTGCCGCAGCATGAACCTCACCGCCCACTCGTAGGAGATCTTGAAGCCGCCCTCGAGGGACCGGCCGAGCTTGGTGGCTTTCTGGAAGAGAGTCTCCTCGTTCACGGGCAGCTGCTGCTCCCTCTGCGTGAGGACCCACTCCGCCAGCTTCTCCTCAGCCTCCAAGCTGAGGTACTTGCCCTCCGACAGCGACGCCAAGTTCTCCTCCTGGAAAGCCTGAAACCTCCGCAGCCAGCGCCTGATGCGCCTCTGGGGGTTGCGGAAGTGCTCCGCAGCCTGCTCCGTGTTGCAGCACAGAGCGAACAGTACAACGCGCAGCTTTTTCACCGAGAGCTGCTCCTTCCTGCCCGCGGGCTCGGGCTCCTTGGCCGGCTGCTCGTCCTCCTGCGCCTCGAGATTCAAACACTCCTCCTCCGGGCAGAGCAGCGGCCGGGCGTAGGCTGCCGGGGCCAGCTCGGGCTCCAGGTCGTCTTTCGCCGGTAACACAGACTTTGTTTTCACAGCAGCAGCTTTACTCGGGGAATAGGCGGGGCAGGTGTTCTTCGGGCTTTTGTCCTGGGGCTGAGCGTGCCTTGAGGGGAGAGAACACGGGACCGTCTTAAAAGCCAGGAAATAACGGTGTGGAGGGGACGGACCAACCCCACACCCAACCCCGCAAACCGAGCTCAGCCATTACAAGCAGTTTACCTGGAATGTGACATCCAAGTAGGCCCTGTCAGGAGAAACAAAACAACAAAAACCATTTATTTGTAGCTTAGCGCAAGCACACGCCGCCCCCCGTCCCGTTCTCCCACAGCCAGGATCCGCGTCCCTCTGTGTCCGAGCCCCCCAGCCCTCGCCGGCCCCCGACGGCAACACCCCGCGTCCGCGCGGACCAACAGGAGGAGTTTGCCCGGGGAAGCTCAGCTCCGGGCAGGGCCCGAGGGGCCGCGGTTCCCCGCTTTAGGCCCTGTTCAAACCCAGCAGCTGCGCGAGTTCCCGCGTCAGGGAGGGACAACGGCGTCCCGGGGGAAGAGGGGAACGCGCTGGAGCCCTCGGCCTCGCCGGGACCCGGCTCCGGCAGGGCCAGCCCGGCTCAGGGCTTAACTCGCCCATCTCCAGGGCAACGAGGCTCCAGAAGGTCCCCGAAGAACTCGGGACTAAGTGCTCAGCCCGGCGCTAAACAACGGCGCGTCGGACCCGCAGCCTACGAGCCGACGTCCCGCGTGAACGTTTCGCGACTTTTCGGCTCCTTTTCAAACTCTCACCTCGGAAAATGATGTTGCTAAACTCGTGTGACGGGTTGAAGACCAGATGCTCGGCCATGGCGTCGCCCTCGGATGTTACGAAGAGACAGGAGGAACAGGACAGCTTGACACCACTGGGAGGAAACCAGAGAGAGGGGAGGGCTCGGTACCGGGTGTAAAACACGGGGACACCCCCGGACTAACAGCTGGACACAGCGGCGTCACCCCCAGCACACACAGCCCCTGTCCCCACCCCAGCCAAGGGACTCCCCACACGCTGCCCCCAGTCCACGGGTTTTCACGGGGGGCACAAAACAAACAGGAGGTTCTTCAGAAGCAACTGTGGGAGAGCAGAACTGGAAGATCGGGGTGGGGACGCACGTTAAGAGTCCCAGGGGACTGAGTACGACAAGTTTCCATTACCAGGCAGTGTAGTTTTTAAACAAAGCCAAGTATTTTGGACTCTTCCGAGGAACGTGGTTGCTGAAAGACAAAAAAAAAAAAAAAAAAAAAAAAAAAAAAAAAAAAAAAAAAAAAAGAGTTTATTAAATGTTTAAATGTCAGAATTATTCTGGGAGACGGAGAGACAGACCCGGGGGGCTGCCGCGCTCGGGCGGGGGGGATTTCGGAGCCCCACGTACTTGATCATGTGGTTGGCGTAGGCTCTGGAGCAGCACGTGCTGTAGCGACAGAGCGAACAGTGCACGTAGGTGGGGAAGTGGTTGGGGAAGTCGGGGATCTCGAAGCTGCACTCCAGGCAGGTCTGTCTGCCCAGGACGCTCCTGCGGGGAGAGGGACGGTCTCGTCAGGGCCTGAGCAGGGATCCGGGGCCACAGGTCATCAGGACAGAGAATTCCACGGCAACTTCCAGCACCCTGCAGGCCCACTAGTCCCATCCCGCGCCCCAGGAGGCTGGCGTGCGCCAGTGCCAGGCTGAGCGCTTCCCGCTTGCTGCAGTCAGGAGGATTTACGAATGGGCAATAAATTAAAAAAAAAAAAAACAACCCAAACAACCCACAAAACACCCAGGAAAAATATGAAGACAAAGCAGGAGGACACAGGGTGGGCATAAAGCCCTCGCTGTTGCTATAGAAGCAGCAGCCGACTCCAGCCCGCGGCACCCTCGGGGTGCGACGTCTCCCCGCAGCGGGTGAGGCAGAGCTGCCCGGTGCCGAGGATCCCCCGGCCCGTCGCCGCAGCGTTACAAACCACGCTCCCTTTCAGAACACAAAACATCTGTTAAAGGTGACGTTCAGCAGAAGGCTCTGACATTTTTTTGACGGCTCTCTTCTG